TGGGTTGTATTTTCCGTTTTTTCAAAATTTTTTCTCTTGCATTTGTTTTTAAAAATTTCTTCGAATTTTGTCCACATCCTGTTTTGTTTGGTATTTAATATTTTATACTCCTTTGAAATTTATGATGTTTTAAAAAAAAATTTTAAAAAAAAAATTTTAAAGAAGTACAGAAAGGGGCCGTAGACGGGGTTATAACGTTGAGGTGAAGAACTGCAGCCCCACTGCAGCTAGGGGATTTGCACAAAGAATCTTAAACCCACTTTTTTCAACCTTTGGGACGAAGACCTCTTCGATAGGGGTTGGCCACATGACCCCCCCCCTCCTCCTGCTTCACCTCACCTGCTCTTCGACTAGTGGTGGTACCACTATGCCCCGCCTCCTCCTGCTTCACCTCCCTGATATTCGACTAGTGGTGGTACCCTATGACCCCCCCTCCCCCTGCTTCACTCACCTGATATTCGACTATGGATGGTACCATTCCCCCGCCTCCACCTGCTTCCCTCACCTACTATTCGACTATGGAGGGTACCACTATGCCCCCGCCTCCCCCTGCTTCACCTCACCTAACTTCACAGTGGATGGTACCACAATTGACCCCGCCTCCTCCTGCTTCACCTCCCCTGATACTTCGCTAGTGGGGGTCCCCACTATGCCCCCGCCTCCACCTGCTTCACCTCCCCTGACACTTCGACTAGTGGATGGTCCCCTATGACCCCGCCTCCGCCTGCTTCACCTCCCCTGACTACTTGGGACTGGGGATGGGTCCCCACTATGACCCCCCCCCTCCCCCTGCTTCACCCATGACACTTCGATAGTGGATGGTACCATATGACCCGCCTCCGCCGTTCACCTACCGACTACTTCGACTAGTGGATGGTACCACTATCCCCCCGCCCCCCGCCTGTTCACCTCACCTGACTACTTCGACTAGGGATGGACCACTAGACCCCCCCTCCTCCTGCTTCACCTCACCTGACTACTTCGACTAGGGAAAGGTTTACCACTTTTACCCCCCCTCCTCCTGTTCACCTAGACTATTTGGGACTAGTGGAGGGGTACCCCTATGACCCCCCCTCCTCCTGCTTCACCTCACCTGACTACTTCGCTAGTGGTGGTAAAACTATACCCCCCTCCGCCTGCTTCACCTCCCCTGACTACTTCACTAGTGGTGGTACCACTATCCCCCGCCTCCGCCTGCTTCACCTTACCTGCTACTTCGACTAGGGATGGACCACTATGACCCCCCCTCCCCCGCTTCACCTCACCTGACTACTTCGATAGGGATGGTACCATATGACCCCGCCTCCGCCCTGCTTCACCTCATGACTACTTCGACTAGTGGATGGTCCCACTAGCCCCCGCCTCCCCCTGCTTCACCTCACCTGCTATTCGCTGTGGATGGACCATATGACCCCGCCCCTCCTCTTACCTCCCCTGAACTTTGCTAGTGGTGGTCCCATATGACCCCCCCTCCTCCTGTTCACCTCCCCTGACTACTTCGACTATGGATGGACCACATGACCCCGCCTCCGCCTGTTTCCCTCACCGACTACTTGATAGTGGAGGTACCACTATGCCCCCGCCTCCGCCTGCTTCACCTCACCTGATATTAATTTAGGGGGAGGGTACACTTACCCCCCCTCTCCTGTTTTCACCTCCCTGACTATTTTCGACTATGGTGGTACCACTTTGCCCCCGCCTCCCCCTGTTCACCCCCCCTGACTACTTCGACTATGGAGGGTCCCATAGACCCCCCCTCCTCCTGCTTCACCTCCCCCTGACTACTTCGACTAGTGGTGGTACCCCCTTGCCCCCGCCTCCTCCTGCTTCCCCCTCACCTGACTTTTCGACTAGTGGATGGTACCACTTTGACCCGCCCCCCCTCCTGCTTCACCCCCCTGACACTTCGATAGTGGAGGGGGTACCACATGCCCCCGCCTCCGCCTGTTTCCTCACTGACTACTTCGCGTGGAGGTCCACTAGCCCCCGCCTCCCCTGCTTCACCTCACCTGATACTTCACTAGTGGATGGTCCCATATGACCCCGCCCCCCTCCGTTTCACCTAACCTCACACTTCGACAAAGGGTGGTCCACTTGACCCCCCCTCCTCCTGTTTTACCTCCCTGACTATTCGACTAGTGGATGGTCCACTAGACCCCCCCCGCCTGCTTCACCTCACCTCACTACTTCGACTAGGGGTTGGTCCCACTTGACCCCGCCCCGCCTCTTCACCCACCTCCTATTCGTAGGGTTTGGTACCACTTACCCCGCCCCCCCCTGCTTCACTCACCTCAATACTTCGACTAGGGGAGGGTACCACTAGCCCCCGCCTCCGCCTGCTTCCCCCCCTCACTACGTTTAAGCCACGTTTCCCCCCTATGTCTACATTCTACAAGTTTATGGAGAAAAAATGACCCCGGCTGGGGGACTGATTACCTCAAACTCCTCCACCCCTAGCCTTTTGCTTTTTATTGGACTGAGAAGCCACTGGTGGCGAAACGTTTTCCGAAAAAAGATTCCCATATGTTGCATAAGTGTCTCAATCTCATGTGTGCCTTGTTTAAAACGAAAATATTGTTTCCCCTACGCTTGAGGTTCCTAAACCTTACTCCCCGGAACGCAGGCGGAGGATAAAATTATATAACCTGGAAAATCCTAGAGGGACTGTACCGAACTTTCCCCCCGAAAATCACTCACTACGAAAGCAAAAAACTTGGCAGCGATGACCATCCCCCCAAAGAAAAGCGGGGGGTCATGCACGTTAAGGACCATACCAATAAGTGTCAGGGGGCCCCAATGTTCAATCCCCCCCGCACCATAAGGGGGATTACCAACAGCCCCTGGGAGTCTTTTAAGCGGCACTGGCAAGCACCTAAAGTCGGGTTCCTGACCAGCCGGGTGGGCTCTAAATTGGTTTGCTGCAGCCAGCGCAACAACCTGGTTGATATTCTTGATCCACCAGGAGGCCCGTCCAGACCGGGCCCCAGGGGGGTTGACCCCCGGAACTCTCTCCAGGTAAACTCCAGGAGTTCCTGATCAGCTCCCCTCAGTACATTTTGGGTTAAAAAAAGAATATATTTTGAGAATTTTTCGCCTGGTCGTATTAAGCCGCAGTGGGCGAAAATTTCCCTTTTTAAATGGAGTACGATTTAATATGTTACACGATTTGCAAAAACTTTTCAATGTGGGCCCTGGTGTAATAGCACACAAAATGCGGATAAAGGGTAACAGGAAGAGGGGTAGAGGGGTCCAACTTCCTGACACAAAAACAAAGGTAGTAGTAAAAAAAGATAAAATCCCGGCGCATAGAAAAAGCCGGGCCCAAGGTCGTACTTGTTCCTTTATTCCTCTCTTCTTTTCAACCCTAACAGAGATGTAAGTATAGTCCGGGGCTTCCTTTTTGGTGACACCTGATCACCATGACAGGACCCCATCGAAGACACTGCGAGACTTCAAGCGGACATCAACCCAAAAATTTAAATGGGCCACTCAAAACAATATGAAGTTCAACGACGAGAAATTTCAACTACTCAGATATGGAAAACTTGAGGAAATTAAAAATGTGTCAGGGTATAGCGCAAATTCTAACCATACAATAGAGCGGAAAAGTAATGTGAAGGACCTGGGAGTGATAATGTCAGAGGATCTCGCCTTCAAAGACCACAACAATGTATCTACCTCATCTGCTAGGAAAATGATAGGATGGATAATGAGAATCTTCAAAACTAGGGACGCCAAGCCCATGATGATTCTCTTCAAATCGCTTGTGCTCTCTAAGCTGGAATACTGCTGTACACTAACTGCCCTCATCAAGGCTGGCGAAATAGCTCACCTGGAGAGTGTACAAAGAACTTTCACGACACACATAAGTACAATAAAGCACCTAAACTACTGGGAACGGTTGAAAGTCCTTGATCTGTATTCCCTCGAACGCAGGCGAGAGAGATACATGATAATATACACTTTGAAAATTCTAGAGGGATTAGTGCCAAACTTGCACACGAAAATCACTCCCTATGAAAGCAAAAGACTCGGCAGGAGATGCAACATTCCCCCGATGAAAAGCAGGGGGGCCACGAGTACACTGAGAGACAACACAATAAGTGTCTGGGGCCCAAGACTGTTCAATTGCCTCCCAGCATACATAAGGGGGATTACCAATAGACCTCTGACTGTCTTCAAGAAGGCACTGGACAGGCACCTAAAGTCAGTACCTGACCAACCGGGCTGTGGTTCGTACGTCAGTTTGCATGCGGCCAGCAGTAACAGCCTGGTTGATCAGACCCTGATCCACCATGAGGCCTGGTCTCAGACCGAGCCGCGGGGGCGTTGACCCCCGGAACCCTCTCCAGTCTCCAGGTAATTTCAGGGTTAAGTAAATAATTTTGTTAGTCGGTTTGGGTCTGAAAAGGACCTGCCTAGTATGGGCCAGTAGGCCTGCTGGAGTTACGTTGAAAATGGTATATAAAAACAGTTAGGTAGCTTTATTCCGAAACGTTTCGCCCATACAGCAGGCTTCGTGACTCGAGTACAGAAAACTTTGTACATGAACGGTGGAAGAATTGGGACACTTTTCGCCACACAGTGGCTTCATCAGTCCAATACAAAGTAGAAATGGGTAAGGAGAGGAGGAGTTCGAGGTAATCAGTCCCTCAACCTGAAATCGATGTGTTCAGTCCATCACTCTTGTAGGAAGTGCAGCATAGGGCCGGAGAGGTGGCCTATATACGGCAGTCAGATGAGTTGAAGCAGGAGGAGGCGGGATCACAGTGGGACCTGCCACTTGTGTAAGTAGGTCGTCGTCCAAAGGCTGGGCAAGCGTTGAAGTCTTTGTACCAAGATCCCATGATGTTGCATGATGTTGAACGGTATACAGTACCGACAAGATGGGTATGACCTACTTCCACTGGGGAATCCCGCCCACCAGTGACAATGCCCTCGTCTGCTACCCGTCCCTTTCCACCTGACGTTAGTATATAATAGACCCCAATGGAAATAAGTCACTTTGACTAACTTTTTTCAGGTTATCCTGGTTCTCTACACATATGCTGCTATGTTTGATAATCCACGTAACTGTATTTGTGTACACCTGAATAAAGTTACTATAAGAACCAGCCTTCTTGCCCGTGCTCTAGATTCTTCACGACTACGGTGCTCTACACACCAAGTTTAAGGCTGAGGGACTGATTACCCCATCTTTTGCATATAGTTCTACTGTCTCCAAATTATGTCCTACAATTTGTATAGATAAAGCCACTGGATGGCGAAACGTATACATAAAAGATACCCAGATGTTTCACATGTGTCTATTTCTCAAAGAAAAGTTTGCAGAGGCAGTAGAGATGTGAAGACGATGCAATCAGTCCAGTACCTTTAAACTTATTTATTTATTTATTTAATGTCTTGACAAACAGTACATTGAAATTTTATATTTAAAATAGTGGGTTGCAATGCAAAGAGAACCTCTATTATGTTCAATTATATTCCTGTCAACAATGGATAAAAGGTTCAAAGTGATTGTTGAAGTTATGATGTGGGAGGACATAGGTGAGTAAGTGTATACTGAGTATTTAGCATTTAGTCTAGGGTGATTAAGTGGCTTTTGAGAAGAGTCTTAAGCTGGTTTTCAGACTGGGTTACTTTAATATCTTCTGGTAATAAATTCCATATTTTGGGGCCCTTTATGTGCATAGAGTTTTTACACAGTGTGGTATGGACACGAGGTATATCAAAAAGAGATCTGTGTCTTGTGTTGTGGTCGTGTGTCCTGTTTAGGTTGGTGAGGAGAAGTTTGAGTGGAGGGTTTATATTTGTGTGTATTGTTCTGTGTATGTAGTAGGCACATGAATAGGTATGGCTTTGAGGTGGTCAGTCCCTCAGCCTGGCTTGTGATACTGCTTTCTTATGTGTTTATGTTTGATTCAGACATGGATGGAGAACTATCATCAGAAGATGACGGAGGCGGCGCTGGAGTTGTTAAGGCTCATTGCTGAAGGTTTTGACGCGCCCAGTGACTTCTTCACGTCACTGTTCGTGCCCCGTCACCTCTCTACCCTCCGCCTCATCCACTACCCAGCCAGGACTGATGCCCCAGAGTGGGCCCGTGATGGTGAATACGGTGAGTATAAGCACACCATTGTGTAATAAAAGCATAACAATGGAAGAACATTGTAGCTGGCCTCTGCTGGTCTGTTGCAGGCCATTGCCTAGAGTCTAAACCAACCATTTCCGCCTACCCACTTATCTAACCTTCCCCTAAAACCTCCTAAGAATTAACCTCAGATACTGTGCAACATCTGGGTGTCTTTATTTGGCGAAGAGCGTTGGTTCTTCCTATTACGTTTGTAACTTGTTCCGCTATCAAAACTTTGCGGCCCAGTCCTTGGGCCCATTTACGTACCTCTGTAATCTTTTTGACAACTACCCACAGGCTGAGAAACTGATTATTTCATTTTTTGTAGATAATTCTTCACATTATGTCCTTGTATTGATAAAGCCACTGGAGGGCGTGACGTCTGCAAATAAAGATATCCTGGACTGGTTCATACATACACCCGACATTCGCTTATCCATCCCCTGTTATAACTTTCTCGTATCTCACATCAGTAACTCTCACGCCCAGTCAAAATATCATCATGTTACTGATGCAATGTTCTCTACAGTGATTCAAACAGCCGAGCATCAAGATTCTGTCATGCTGACACTACTAGCCACGTTCCAGCAGTACCCTGGTCTTCAAGTTCGCTGGATGGACGACACCCTGCTGGATGTACCTCACCGCAGGGGTCACCTGGTGGTCAATATAGGTGTCCTGTTGTCCACTATGAGCGGTGGCAACCTGAAAGCCACGAGACACAGAGTTGTTGAGTGCGGCGGTGATCGGTAAGAACGAAAGAATGGATTAAGTTATTTTAGGTACAGGTACACGTAAATACAGTTACTACTTCTACTACTACTGTTGCTACTAGTACTACTACTGCTGCTGGTACTACTACGATCACTACTTCCACTACCACTACTATTAATAATAATAATTCCCAACAGGTTCTCAGTGCCGTTCTTCTTGGAGCCGAAATTCGATGGTAACATCAACCAGGTGCTGCCCAGCGGGACTCCACAACTGACTGAAGACCCAGACCAGAGGGTCTTCTACGGTCCTTGGCTCTGGGAGAAGACCACGAAATATGCAGAGTACAAGGGCTTAATCGAAAGACTTAAAAGCGTCGGTCTAAACTGACGGACGTTTCCGAAAGCGACGTCTTGCTCTGTGTAGAGCTTTATCAACATGATAGAGCTCCACTTAAAGCTTTTATATTAGTGGGCATGATTCTGTATTCACTATTATGTTGATTGACGCAAGTTATTTTTCTTACATTTGGCAAGCTTTAAGCTTGTAGGGGGATCTTATAGCACCTGGGAGGCTATCAAGCTTTAAGCTTGTAGGGGGATCTTATAGCACCTGGGAGGCTATCAAGCGTTTAAGCTTGTAGGGGGATCTTATAGCACCTGGGAGGCTATCAAGCGTTAAGCTTGTAGGGGGATCTTATAGCACCTGGGAGGCTATCAAGCGTTAAGCTTGTAGGGGGATCTTATAGCACCTGGGAGGCTATCAAGCGTTAAGCTTGTAGGGGGATCTTATAGCACCTGGGAGGCTACAAGCTTTAAGCTTGTAGGGGGATCTTATAGCACCTGGGAGGCTATCAAGCGTTAAGCTTGTAGGGGGATCTTATAGCACCTGGGAGGCTATCAAGCGTTAAGCTTGTAGGGGGATCTTATAGCACCTGGGAGGCTATCAAGCGTTAAGCTTGTAGGGGGATCTTATAGCACCTGGGAGGCTATCAAGCGTTAAGCTTGTAGGGGGATCTTATAGCACCTGGGAGGCTATCAAGCGTTAAGCTTGTAGGGGTATCTTATAGCACCTGGGAGGCTATCAAGCGTTAAGCTTGTAGGGGGATCTTATAGCACCTGGGAGGCTATCAAGCGTTAAGCTTGTAGGGGGATCTTATAGCACCTGGGAGGCTATCAAGCTTTAAGCTTGTAGGGGGATCTTATAGCACCTGGGAGGCTATCAAGCGTTAAGCTTGTAGGGGGATCTTATAGCACCTGGGAGGCTATCAAGCGTTAAGCTTGTAGGGGGATCTTATAGCACCTGGGAGGCTATCAAGCGTTAAGCTTGTAGGGGGATCTTATAGCACCTGGGAGGCTATCAGTTTTGATCCGTTCATAAACGGACCTGCCTGAATTTCCGACTCTATTTCAGCAACATTGCAAGCTCCTGACGATGTTGATTGCAACACGAAAGGCCTAGAACTATCATTCAACTCCCCCTGTGGTTGCTTTGTATATGTATATTCGCAGATTAAAGGCAATAAAACATATCTTTCATAAACTGGTTTTATTTAATTACTCTGAAATTTATTTGGAAAACAAAAGCAATTTGTTTAATAATTACGGATTTAATTAATAATAATTAGGCCAATGACCAGTCCATTAATCTCAAGACTGATAAACTGAAGACATCGACTCCAGGCTGAAGGATTGATTACCTCAAACTACTTCTCATCTTCCACCGTTCTTCTCTGTATTGGACTGAAGATTTCCAAATGTTGAACAAGTCTCTCATTCCTCAACTTGTCAGTTTTTTTAAACCATTTACATCACAGCAGTGTATTGTAGGGCATCTGTTGCTGGGTTGGTTCATCACCGACGTCACGAGGCAGGGAACATCGACAGTAGCATACCTGATTCGACCCCTGCAACCACAAACAGGTAAATACAAATAGGTGAGTACAAGTAGGTGAGTACAAATAGGTGAGTACAAATAGGTGAGTACACACAGTCAAAGAGTTGCCGGGAAGTGGATTATGATTGTAATCATGGTGGAAAGCTAAACCCGTAGGATTATACAGCTCATGTGTGAGGGGGGGGGGATACTGAAGGTATACAGGCAAAATTCAGGGAACTGGAGCACAGATCCAATTCCATAGATCAAGAGCCTCTCACCAGCATCAAGTATCAGGGTTGGAGTGATATCAGATCCTGAACAAATACTGATATCGTTTACTGGGAACTCCTTAAAGGCTTAAATATGTACTCACTGGAGCGGAGGACAAATATATCGTAATATATACCTGGAAAGTACTCAAGGACATGATCTTAAATCTGTACACTGCCACAACAGTTTACTGGAGCGAGAGATATGGAAGTCCAAAATAAACCCAGTGAAAAGCAGGGGTCCAGTGGGCACAATAAGGGAACACTGTATCAACATCCGTGACCCCGGGTTATTCAACATCTTACCAGAAGATATCAGAAACACTGCGGGGATAAGAGTACAAGTCTTAAGGGAAACTGGAGAAGTATCTTAACCAGGTGTCAGATAAACTAGGCTGTGGTGGATATGTGGGGCAGTGAGCCACCAACAGCCTGATTGACCAGGCTAGTACCAGACGAGCCTGGTCCATGGCCGGGCTCCGGGAATAAGACTCTCGAAACTCATCAAAGGTATATCAAAGGTAATCTGGAGAGTGACGTAGTCGATGCAGGATCCATACATAACTTTAAGAAGAGGTATGATAAAGCTCATGGAGCAGGGAGAGAGAGTGGACCCAGTAGCGACCAGCGAAGAGGCGGGACCAGGAGCTATGACTCGACCTCTGCAACCACAAATAGGTGAATACACACATACACACATCTCGAGTAATATACCCTTTCATTTAGTGTAATATCTATAATGCCCCGCATACCCATCCTATGGGCGGTAGTCAAAAGATTAGTCAAATTTGTTTTTCCTATATATTTCCCACTGTTTACCCGTCTGACTCTGATAAGACAAACAGGTAAGCAATATTTACACATGATATATACACTGAGAGACGTGTATATACACTGTGTATATACACTGAGAGACGTGTATCTCTCAGCGTATATACACGCAGAGTTAATCCCTGTTATTGATATTAAGAGAATTTTTATCTGTTTACATGGGACATTGTAGCCTTATTAATGACCCTGGTGTAGTCGATGGGGGTTAATTAAGCCTCAGTAAAAGTAGCATTGTTGGCTAGTTAACCTGACGTCCACAGCACAACTCTGATGGAGTGATGTAGTCAGTTGTCTGCTGAGGTCAGTGAGGTGTGGATGTCAGAGTCTTGTTTAGATCTGACGGTACAGTGTTATGTCTGAGTGAAGTGTGGGTGGAATACGTCGTGTCTGTGTTGTAGTGAAAATATATATAGAATGGAATTTTTGTCTACAGGATATATGTATGTAACAATCCCCCGGTGGTGGTGTTTCCCCGGTGGTGGTGTTTCCCCGGTGGTGGTGGTCCCCCGGTGGTGGTGGTCCCCCCGGTGGTGGTGTTCCCCCCGGTAGTGGTGTTTCCCCGGTGGTGGTGTTTCCCCGGTGGCGGTGTCCCGGTGGTGGTGTTCCTCCGAAGGTGGATCTTCAAGTGGTTGACTAAATTTGCTCTTCTTACTCCACTTTCCGTTTTAATTTTGATCATAAGTGCAGTGTTCTTGCAGGAGGAAACCCTGATACTTGTCCACTCTAATACTCTCCTAAAAACCGGGGTTGCCACGGTGTCTTTTCTTACCACGGTATTTTTTTTCCATGGGACTTTCTTGCCAAATCCGTTTGATATTTAAATATTTCTTACAAATATTTCAGTATTTAAAGTGAGATATACATTCTGGTCGGCTAAGGGACTGATACCTCATCTACTTCTCCAGTATTCCGTGTTTGTCTCTGTATTGTACTGATAAAGCCACTGATTGGCGAAACATAAATAATAATGCAGAGCAGTAATGCTGTGTATTTTAATAGGTCAAAGACTAGTGAAGAGTCGATACTCCGTCCACTACCCACAAGAGTCGTAACCAGGGTTGTCTACCCTCGTGGATGATGCTGTGGTGGTGTGTGGTGGTGACTGTGGTGGTGATGCAGGTGGGAGAGGCAGCAAGAAAACCACCAGCGATGCCTACCAGTGACACTATGGATGCCGCTGCCAGGGAAGGCAAACTCCAGTACGAGTTAATAACTAAGGAATCTCAGATGCCGAGGTTAGTAGTAAAGTAGTTGCCATGTTATTAATCTGGGAAAATAACAAGTGGGGGTAATGCCATACAAATGGAAAGGTGGCAATACTGCTGTAATACCATACAATTTGGGGTAATATCAGTGGAATAATGTCTACAATATTCAGAAAGTAAATTTTCAGAACACGCTTGTGTACAGCTTCGTGAAACTTGCTCTCCAGAGTCTTGAAGAGCACCGTAGTCTTCGAGACTGAGGGACTGATTACCACGTCTTTTCCATACACTTCTACAGTATTTACATTACGCCCTTGTATTGCGTTGATAAACCCACTGGATCTCGAAACTCCGCAAATTAATGATACCCAGATGTTGCACTGTCTTAATTCATCGGTATTGTATACCATTTATATCCATGAATATACATTGTCCTCCACAGGTATGGTGACTGTTACCAGAAGACCCTAAAGGATCTTCATGAGGGTTGTTCTGACCTTACTGACGAGGTGAGTCAATTGGAGAGACGTAAGACAGAGATTTGACTAATTTGATATTTCCTTGTGGCAACGTTTCTCTTTCCCGGAGCTTTGCCATGTTGAACGTTGCTACAGTAAAATGTCAACAATAGTCTCGTCTGTGTACTTTTTGCCCAATATCTTGTCTGCAATAATACCATTAATAGCAAACTTCGGTTTGCGTGCGGCCAGCCTGGTTGATCCTTTTTCTAAACAAGTTAAGACTTACTTTCGTGTTTAACACGAAAAATTGAAACCAGTGATAGTTTTCTGCCGAAATACGTGTGTTCCATTCAGTTTTAGCCGTTTTTGGGCCCTTAAGGCATATTCCTGGATGCTGCTGAGGATCTAAGGAATTAGATCTGTGCTCCCATTCCATGAATAGAGCCTGATTACCTTCCATTCATCCCAGACGATGTATAACATCCCCTACGTGTTTAGCACTCTCCCTATGACTAATAATGTCTTACCAACTTGTCGGTATTGCAAGCCATTATACTCACACTGGCTTATTAATTATGGTAGTCTACTGCCTTCTGAGTCTGTCTCTGTAAACGCCATATTTTCCAGGTACAGAGCCGCCTGGCACTGGCCTTCACCAATTGCTACGTGGCACGGTTTGGTTGGGACATGTATCCATGTAGAAAAGATCAGCCCTTGTCAGAGTGTATGGTCTACCTGGACTCCCGCACTGCTTCAGTCTACTCTGCTATGCTCTCCAACACCCTGACAATGTGCCACTTCCTCCAGGCTCAAGCATGGCATCAGGCCACAACTGATGCTGTACACAGGTCGCAACCCAAGATAACTGACCTACGTTTTAATAAAATGTTTCGGGCTTCGTTTTGGGTTTTCTGACGAGACCTTGACACGTTAGGGAAGTCATGATATATATATAAAAGTTATTAGAGAAAGGATTTTAATTTCTTAGATATTTTATTTTGGCTATTGTGCCTTGTTAATATAGAATTGTTAAAATGGGAGCTCTGAATGATCTTGTATCATGTAAATTCTACACCCCTTTTGCAATGTTTCTAATGGGTGTCTGTGATTTGTAAGTGTTTTACAGTATGGCTAGTATGGATTATAGTACAGAGTTCAATAGTCCTTGGTAGGATGGGTATGGGGCGCATAATAGATATTAAACTGACTCACGAAATCGTAATGACACGATTGCAAACAAACCATACCACGGGCGGGACTTGAACCCGCGGTCAGAGTCTCGAAACTCCAGACCGTGGCTAACGTGACGGTCTGGAGTTTTGAGACACTCTGACCGCGGGTTCAAGTCCCGCCCGTGGTATGGTTAGATATTAAACTAACAGTGTTTGTCCCCAGCCTGCGGGAGGCGTCAGAGAGGGTCCGCTCGAAGCTGTCCAAGGCAGTGGACTCTGCTGCCGCTCTTAAACTACAGATGGACACTCAGATCACAGAGTCCCGTCAAGCACTCAAGAATGCCTTCTCGGAGATCAGGTTAATGTTTAGTCAGACATAGGTGTATATGTGTTGGTAGAATTACCGACAACATGTAAAGTAAAAGGACACAAGTACCTGGAGTTACCTGGAGAGAGTTCCGGGGGGTCAACGCCCCTGCGGCCCTGTCTGTGACCAGGCCTCCTGGTGGATCAGAGCCTGATCAACTAATGTGATATTTTATTGTGGCAACGTTTCGCTCTCCAGGAGCTTTGTCAAGCCGGCTTGACAAAGCTCCTGGAGAGCGAAACGTTGCCACAATAAAGTGTTACAATAGTTGCACCTGTGTCCTTTTACTTTACATAATACGTGTACCTTAAAGATACCGTTAAGTGGTAACTGTGGGGACACGACGAGGCAGAGTGTGATCCTGTTTTTATTGACTACCTTTCTGTGGCTATAGGAATTAATGTATTGAAGTCACGTGGATCGGACGGTCTCCTCAACTTTAATAGGCTTAAGCCATTCTTCACGAGATCGTAGTAGCATGATTTCAAATAAACCACGGAACGGGTGGGGTTTGAACTAGTTGGATGAAGAATTAGATGTGTGCAACATCTGAATATCTTTGTTATAGAGGCTTCGCCATCCAGTGGCTTTAACAACACAAATTCCAGGACATAATTAGAAGACAGAACTATATACAAATGATAAGGTAATCACTCCCTCTTGGAGTTGAAGAGCACCGTAGTCTTCAAGAATATAGTTCTATTGTCTTCTAATTGTCCTACAATTTGTATTGATAGTCACTGGAGGGCGAAACGTCTACAATAAAGATACCTAGATGTTGCACATGTATAATTCTCCATCTTGTTGGTACTGTTTACCATACTATGTACAACTAGTTGGATAAATATTATTGCAGACACCTGGCCCCATGGCTAACGCACTGGCCTGAAGTTTTAAGACACTCGCCATGGGTTCAAACCCCACACGTTCCCTGGTTTAAGCTGTAGTAATTTTGTAAATGGTATACAATAGCGCCAAGTTGAGTAAGAATCATCTGCAACACTTTGGTATATTTACTGACCTACACAGCAGGCTTCTTCAGTCTGATAGAGGTGATTCCAATACTGGAGACACAAGAGGTGTTTGAGGTGGTCAGTCCCTCATTGTTGATGGGTGATCCCATTCTTTCTATACCTAGTACAATGAATAATGCATTAGTGTAACCTAACCTTCATGGGGAGGGGGGGTACATCATTAAGGCTGTAAAAAGCTCTTAATCGAAGGAATTGGAGCTACCTTTCCCTTCCTATGAGCAAATCTCTCTCCCAGATCTCCAGCATCCATGGTGAATGTGACTTTCTCACACAGGGAATCAACAGCTGAGCAGCGAGGACTGATTATAGACGTATTTGACCGTGTGGCCCAACTGCAGAGTTTGCTGCTAGGAGAGTTCTCCTGGTTCTATGCTGTAAGATATGGTGCTAGGAGAGTTCTCCTGGTTCTATGCTGTAAGATATGGTGCTAGGAGAGTTCTCCTGGTTCTATGCTGTAAGATATGGTGCTAGGAGAGTTCTCCTGGTTCTATGCTGTAAGATATGGTGCTAGGAGAGTTCTCATGGTTCTATGCTGTAAGATATGGTGCTAGGAGAGTTCTCCTGGTTCTATGCTGTAAGATATGCTGCTAGGAGAGTTCTCCTGGTTCTATGCTGTAAGATATGCTGCTAGGAGAGTTCTCCTGGTTCTATGCTGTAAGATATGCTGCTAGGAGAGTTCTCCTGGTTCTATGCTGTAAGATATGGTGCTAGGAGAGCTCCTGGTTCTATGCTGTAAGATATGGTGCTAGGAGAGCTCCTGGTTCAGTGTTTTAAGATCACCTTTTCCGACTGTTCTCCAGACGTCGCATTATAAAGTAAGCTTTACTTAAGAAAGCCAGAATATATTAAGCAGGTTGAATTTGCACTGAAGTATAGTATTTATTACTGACTTACAGTACAGACAATTACGCGAGTAAGATGTATCTTTGACCTTTAACTGAAGCCTGCTGAGCAGACACACAGTTTAGTATATTATTTCCCATAGACGGAATTTGATTCAGTACCTGTTGGGTCCTGAAAAAATTATGGTTTCTTAAGTTTGACACTTTTATAGGTGAATATATTAACTTAGTTAAGTTCAAAGTTTATTGCTGGAGTAGCGTTGAAAATGGGTTGAGGGATAGTAAGTTTATTCGGATATAGACAAATAGTTATGATCATCATAAATAGCAGCATGTGTGTAGAGAACCTATTGTGAAGGACCTGCCTGGTATGGGCCAACAGGCCTGCTGCAGTGAATGTGACCTGACCTAACTAGGTTAAGGCATTGGCTTAATCCTGTAGGAGACTTGGACCTGCCTCGCATGGGCCAGTAGGCCTGCTGCAGTGTTCCTTATGTTCTTTTGACCCCTCAAGGGAGGTTCCTTGACGCTGGTGACGGGCTCTTGATCTAGAGAATTGGATCTGTGCTCCAGTTTCCTGAATTGAGTCGGCAATACCTTCCATCCCCCCCCCCACAGGCGCTGTATAATCCTACGGGTTTAGCTCTCCCCCATGATTATAATTTTCTTTTGCCATGAACTTGCTAACTACCACTAAGTTATTTTGTGTGACTGACCACAGGTTGTGTTCTACGTGGCAAGTGTGCTGGTGACACTACTAGTGACTTGTTCTCCTCGTACCCAGGATGCCAGGATACCCAGCATGGGAACACTGACCTGCTCCTTGGCCCTAGAGAGGTTCATGGTTAACAATACGGTCACTTACCTGTATTCAGACGTCTCCCAGGTTAGATCAGGCTGTTCTCAAGTCATCTTTCTAATTTTTGCTAATTATCGTGTAAAGAGTTTCACATTCTTTGTCTGCTTAGCCTCAGCTCCTGTCCCCTTGCCTGTAATTCACAGCATTAGACAGCTTTGTCAGTTCCATTCATGGGTGTTCCTTTGAGTTGGATTTATCATCCAATAAAACGGCTTTACCTCCAGCCCGAACAAAAAATACCCCTCCATCCTTATCCCTTTGAATAACCCAGAACAATTAGTCAGATAACTGTTAGTATGTACAATTACAGTCAGATAACTGTTAGTATGTACAATTGCAGTCAGATAACTGTTAGTATGTACAATTACAGTCAGATAACTGTTAGTATGTACAATTACAGTCAGATAACTGTTAGTATGTACAATTACAGTCAGATAACTGTTAGTATGTACAATTACAGTCAGATAACTTAGTATGTACAATTAGTCAGATAACTTAGTATGTACAATTACAGTCAGATAACTGTTAGTATGTACAATTACAGTCAGATAACTGTTAGTATGTACAATTACAGCCAGATAACTGTTAGTATGTACAATTACAGCCAGATAACTGTTAGTATGTACAATTACAGCCAGATAACTGTTAGTATGTACAATTACAGCCAGATAACTGTTAGTATGTACAATTACAGTCAGATAACTGTTAGTATGTACAATTACAGTCAGATAACTGTTAGTATGTACAATTAGTCAGATAACTGTTAGTATGTACAATTACAGTCAGATAACTGTTAGTATGTACAATTAGTCAGAATAACTGTTAGTATGTACAATTACAGCCAGATAACTGTTAGTATGTACAATTACAGTCAGATAACTGTTAGTATGTACAATTAGTCAGATAACTGTTAGTATGTACAATTACAGCCAGATAACTGTTAGTATGTACAATTACAGCCAGATAACTGTTAGTATGTACAATTAGTCAGATAACTGTTAGTATGTACAATTAGTCAGATAACTGTTAGTATGTACAATTACAGCCAGATAACTGTTAGTATGTACAATTACAGTCAGATAACTGTTAGTATGTACAATTACAGCCAGATAACTTAGTATGTACAATTACAGTCAGATAACTGTTAGTATGTACAATTAGTCAGATAACTGTTAGTATGTACAATTACAGTCAGATAACTGTTAGTATGTACAATTACAGTCAGATAACTGTTAGTATGTACAATTAGTCAGATAACTGTTAGTATGTACAATTACAGTCAGATAACTGTTAGTATGTACACAGGCAGACATGCAGGTGATGGTGTGGATCATCAGACGTCTGGCTGCTACCTGCTGCTTTCTGCTGCTGGTTAAATCTGCGTTATCATACAGGCGAGTGTTTGACACATGTTCACTGGTATAACACTAGTATATTCTCGTTACATTCGCATGTGTAGTATATACTTACTATGTTGGTTATAACTATGACCCTAATTATTGAAGGGGTGGACGAGTAAGCCAATGGAAGGTCTTGGTCAGATGACCAAAAGCTCCGATGGCGGGTCATCTGACAAACCTGCATCAGGAACACTTGTCCTGTTTCCTGAGGAACTTTACCTGGCCTAACCTAACATGTGTAGTGTATCTAGGGTAAGATATGTTATTGGTAATTTAGACATGAAGGTCTGGGTTTCTATTTCCTTTTTTAGCAGGGTGGAAAATTTGGCTGTGTGCCGGACTGCTCTTAAACAAGTGCACAACAACAGGCGTAAACTAGGTTGTTATTGGTATAATGACGGTTGTTTGATACCCAGGACTGATATAATGACGGTTGCTTGATACCCAGGATTGCTATAATGACGGTTGCTTGATACCCAGGACTGGTATAATGACGGTTGCTTGATACCCAGGACTGGTATAATGACGGTTGCTTGATACCCAGGACTGGTATAATGACGGTTGCTTGATACCCAGGATTGCTATAATGACGGTTGCTTGATACCCAGGACTGGTATAATGACGGTTGCTTGATACCCAGGACTGTATAATGACGGTTGCTTGATACCAGGATTGCTATAATGGACGGTTGCTTGATACCCAGGATTGCTATAATGACGGTTGCTTGATACCCAGGACTGCTATAATGATGGTTGCTTGATACCCAGGACTGCTATAATGACGGTTGCTTGATACCCAGGACTGCTATAATGATGGTTGCTTGATACCCAGGATTGCTATAATGACGGTTGCTTGATACCCAGGATTGCTATAATGACGGTTGCTTGATACCCAGGACTGCTATAATGATGGTTGCTTGATACCCAGGATTGGTATAATGACGGTTGCTTGATACCCAGGACTGGTATAATGATAGTTGCTTGATACCCAGGATTGGTATAATGACAGTTGCTTGATACCCAGGATTGGTATAATGACGGTTGCTTGATACCCAGGACTGGTATAATGACGGTTGCTTGATACCAAAGACAGGATTATTAACCCATAGTAACTGAAGAAAGCCACTACGATCATTTCATCCTCTCCCCAAATTGCGACCCACAGCAGTCGACTAACACCCAGGTACCTACTTACTGCTAGGTGAACAGAGGCAGCAGAGGTCAGGGAACACGACCCATGTTTTCACCTGTGCTCCGATTGATCACTTAGCGGGTTATCTAACAAGACATAAGTGAGGGAAGCATCTGAACTAATGGAATATTCTATTGGTCACGTCACTGCATTTCTGTAATTGCAAGGATGTACGAATTACATTGCTTTGAGTTACGTTAATGTAGTTTGACCTACACACTGTACAAAGTCTATTGATGCTGTACAAGCTATGTTTATATTTAAAACCAAAATTGATGCTAAACCAATTATTCCAGGTTTTTTCCCTAGTAGTGATTAAAGTTCTGTATTTAATCAGTATGTTTGTTCCAGAGATCCAATTGCAGCAGCTGCAGCCAAACTTGAGGAACTGACCTCTGCTACCAAGGAAATAAAGAACCTCATCAATTCTACCCCTGGTGAGTATTTTGTCAGTTCCACCCCCTGGTGGGTAGGTAGGTTGTCGTCAGTTCCACCCCCTGGTGGGTAGGTTGGCTGTCGTCAGTTCCACCCCCTGGTGGGTAGGTTGGCTGTCGTCAGTTCCACCCCCTAGTGGGTAGGTAGGTTGTCGTCAGTTCCACCCCCTTGTGGGTAGGTAGGTTGTCGTCAGTTCCACCCCCTGGTGGGTAGGTAGGTTGTCGTCAGTTCCACCCCCTGGTGGGTAGGTAGGTTGTCGTCAGTTCCACCCCCTTGTGGGTAGGTAGGTTGTCGTCAGTTCCACCCCCTGGTGGGTAGGTAGGTTGTCAGTCCCACCCCCTGGTGGGTAGGTAGGTTGTCAGTTCCACCCCCTGGTGGGTAGGTAGGTTGTCGTCAGTTCCACCCCCTGGTGGGTAGGTAGGTTGTCAGTTCCACCCCCCTGGTGGGTGGGTAGGTAGGTAGGTAGGTTGTCGTCAGTTCCACCCCCTTGTGGGTAGGTAGGTTGTCGTCAGTTCCACCCCCTTGTGGGTAGGTAGGTTGTCGTCAGTTCCACCCCCTGGTGGGTAGGTAGGTTGTCGTCAGTTCCACCCCCTGGTGGGTAGGTAGGTAGGTTGTCGTCAGTTCCACCCCCCTGGTGGGTAGGTAGGTAGGTTGTCGTCAGTTCCACCCCCCTGGTGGGTGGGTAGGTAGGTAGGTTGTCGTCAGTTCCACCCCCTGGTGGGTGGGTAGGTAGGTAGGTTGTCGTCAGTTCCACCCCCCTGGTGGGTAGGTAGGTAGGTAGGTTGTCGTCAGTTCCACCCCCCTGGTGGGTAGGTAGGTAGGTTGTCGTCAGTTCCACCCCCCTGGTGGGTAGGTAGGTAGGTTGTCGTCAGTTCCACCCCCCTGGTGGGTAGGTAGGTTGTCGTCAGTTCCACCCCCCTGGTGGGTAGGTAGGTAGGTAGGTTGTCAGTTCCACCCCCCTGGTGGGTGGGTAGGTAGGTAGGTTGTCGTCAGTTCCACCCCCCTGGTGGGTAGGTAGGTAGGTAGGTTGTCGTCAGTTCCACCCCCCTGGTGGGTAGGTAGGTAGGTAGGTTGTCGTCAGTTCCACCCCCCTGGTGGGTAGGTAGGTAGGTTGTCGTCAGTTCCACCCCCCTGGTGGGTAGGTAGGTTGTCGTCAGTTCCACCCCCCTGGTGGGTAGGTAGGTAGGTAGGTTGTCAGTTCCACCCCCCTGGTGGGTAGGTAGGTAGGTAGGTTGTCGTCAGTTCCACCCTCCTGGTGGGTAGGTAGGTAGGTTGTCGTCAGTTCCACCCCCCTGGTGGGTAGGTAGGTAGGTTGTCGTCAGTTCCACCCCCCTGGTGGGTAGGTAGGTAGGTTGTCGTCAGTTCCACCCCCTGGTGGGTAGGTAGGTAGGTTGTCGTCAGTTCCACCCCCCTGGTGGGTAGGTAGGTAGGTAGGTTGTCGTCAGTTCCACCCCCCTGGTGGGTAGGTAGGTTGTCGTCAGTTCCACCCCCCTGGTGGGTAGGTAGGTTGTCGTCAGTTCCACCCCCCTGGTGGGTAGGTAGGTTGTCGTCAGTTCCACCCCCCTGGTGGGTGGGTAGGTAGATAGGTTGTCGTCAGTTCCACCCCCCCTGGTGGGTAGGTAGGTAGGTTGTCGTCAGTTCCACCCCCCTGGTGGGTAGGTAGGTAGGTTGTCAGTTCCACCCCCCTGGTGGGTAGGTAGGTAGGTAGGTTGTCGTCAGTTCCACCCCCCTGGTGGGTAGGTAGGTTGTCGTCAGTTCCACCCCCCTGGTGGGTAGGTAGGTAGGTAGGTTGTCAGTTCCACCCCCCTGGTGGGTAGGTAGGTTGTCAGTTCCACCCCCCTGGTGGGTAGGTAGGTAGGTAGGTTGTCGTCAGTTCCACCCCCCTGGTGGGTAGGTAGGTAGGTTGTCGTCAGTTCCACCCCCCTGGTGGGTAGGTAGGTAGGTTGTCGTCAGTTCCACCCCCCTGGTGGGTAGGTAGGTAGGTTGTCGTCAGTTCCACCCCCCTGGTGGGTAGGTAGGTAGGTAGGTTGTCGTCAGTTCCACCCCCCTGGTGGGTAGGTAGGTAGGTAGGTTGTCGTCAGTTCCACCCCCCTGGTGGGTAGGTAGGTAGGTAGGTAGGTTGTCAGTTCCACCCCCCTGGTGGGTAGGTAGGTAGGTTGTCAGTTCCACCCCCCTGGTGGGTAGGTAGGTAGGTTGTCGTCAGTTCCACCCCCCTGGTGGGTGGGTAGGTAGGTTGTCGTCAGTTCCACCCCCCTGGTGGGTAGGTAGGTTGTCGTCAGTTCCACCCCCCTGGTGGGTAGGTAGGTTGTCGTCAGTTCCACCCCCCTGGTGGGTGGGTAGGTAGATAGGTTGTCGTCAGTTCCACCCCCCCTGGTGGGTAGGTAGGTTGTCGTCAGTTCCACCCCCCTGGTGGGTAGGTAGGTAGGTTGTCAGTTCCACCCCCCTGGTGGGTAGGTAGGTAGGTTGTCGTCAGTTCCACCCCCCTGGTGGGTAGGTAGGTTGTCGTCAGTTCCACCCCCCTGGTGGGTAGGTAGGTAGGTAGGTTGTCAGTTCCACCCCCCTGGTGGGTAGGTAGGTAGGTAGGTTGTCAGTTCCACCCCCCTGGTGGGTAGGTAGGTAGGTTGTCGTCAGTTCCACCCCCCTGGTGGGTAGGTAGGTAGGTAGGTTGTCGTCAGTTCCACCCCCCTGGTGGGTAGGTAGGTAGGTTGTCGTCAGTTCCACCCCCTGGTGTGGTAGAGGTAGGTTGTCGTCAGTTCCACCCCCCTGGTGGGTAGGTAGGTAGGTAGGTAGGTTGTCGTCAGTTCCACCCCCCCTGGTGGGTAGGTAGGTAGGTAGGTTGTCGTCAGTTCCACCCCCCTGGTGGGTAGGTAGGTAGGTTGTCAGTTCCACCCCCCTGGTGGGTAGGTAGGTAGGTTGTCAGTTCCACCCCCCTGGTGGGTAGGTAGGTTGTCGTCAGTTCCACCCCCCTGGTGGGTAGGTAGGTAGGTTGTCGTCAGTTCCACCCCCCTGGTGGGTAGGTAGGTAGGTTGTCAGTTCCACCCCCCTGGTGGGTAGGTAGGTAGGTTGTCGTCAGTTCCACCCCCCTGGTGGGTAGGTAGGTAGGTTGTCGTCAGTTCCACCCCCCTGGTGGGTAGGTAGGTAGGTAGGTTGTCGTCAGTTCCACCCCCCTGGTGGGTAGGTAGGTAGGTTGTCGTCAGTTCCACCCCCCTGGTGGGTAGGTAGGTTGTAGTCAGTTCCACCCCCTGGTGGGTAGGTTGTCAACAGTTCCACCCCCTGGTGGGTAGGTTGTCATCAGTTCCACCCCCCTGGTGGGTAGGTAGGTTGTAGTCAGTTCCACCCCCCTGGTGGGTAGGTTGTCAGTTCCACCCCCCTGGTGGGTAGGTTGTCGTCAGTTCCACCCCCTGGTGGGTAGGTTGTCGTCAGTTCCACCCCCTGGTGGGTAGGTTGTCGTCAGTTCCACCCCCTGGTGGGTAGGTTGTCGTCAGTTCCACCCCCTGGTGGGTAGGTTGTCGTCAGTTCCACCCCCTGGTGGGTAGGTTGTCGTCAGTTCCACCCCCAGGTGGGTAGGTTGTCAGTTCCACCCCCAGGTGGGTAGGTTGTCAGTTCCACCCCCTGGTGGGTAGGTTGTCGTCAGTTCCACCCCCAGGTGGGTAGGTTGTCAATTCCACCTGGCACTATAGTCAAATCATGGGAGCAAGTCCCCTTCCACCTGTTACCTAGTAATGGATAGGTACCTAGGAGGCACTGTTGTGAGTGGCATCCTAGGAAGGATGTACAGGGGGATCCTAAAAACCATTGTTTTTATTACGTTATCCTGGATTACTGACACTGAGAATAATCCGAATAATCTCTTGATTATGAATTGTCCAGATTTAACCTATTACCCTGTGAAAGTAAATTACATTGTCTACACGAGTTATGCTAGGTCAAGTCTACATAATGAATTTTGTCTATAACACATGTGCCTTGAGACCATTATGAAAAAAAAATTATGTACCAAAGTTTGAATAACATCAGTATACACGAGATGACACCTGTTGACTCGATAACAGAAATACTTCTAAATTAAGTTTTAATTGACGTTGGTTATTTTAACTTGCTATGATCTGTATTTGTTGAACACTTGTTCCCCTCAAGGAAGGTTCCTTGACGTTGGTGAGGGGCTCTTGATTTAGGAAATTGGATCTGTGCTCCAGTTCCCCGAATTAAGCCTGAATGCCTTCCACATCCCCCCCCAGGCGCTGTATAATCCTCCGGGTTTAGCGCGTCCCCTTGATTATAATAATAATGAACACTTGTTCATAGTTGTTAATTTTTCTTTTAGTGTTACACATAATTTTGTATTGGTATTAAACTGAGTGACCTTCATCAAATTGCTTTGAAAATATCACTACTAATTATACTTTCAGGTATGTTAGTGGCGAATGAGTCCATTAAGGAGCAGGCAGAAGAGAGTGACTACTCTGACGATACTTATGATCCTGAAGAAGACTCTGATTCCTACTCGGACCTCGATGACTGTCCCTACCCTTTTACCAGTCACCTCATGGTAAGTGTTCTAACTCGCCTGTAAGTTTATATAGATACAGGTTCACATAAGTACAGTTATGAATAGTAACATGTGCAAATTACCTAGGATAACCTGAGAAAGTTAGTGACTTGTTTCCATAAGACGATCAAGTTCTTGGTGGTGCTTTTTTCCTTCAGACTACGAATGAAGGTGGCAGGAAGGAAGCACATTACTCACTGAGACCACGACCAAAGGAAGTGCAACAGAACCCACTGGTGGCCCTGGAGACTGCAGACTCCTTTGCACGCACGATGAGGCACCTGGAGACTCTTGCTAGACATAAATCACGTGCCCAAGTATGGCACTTGTCTACCATAAAGCGGTCAAACTATGGTGACGTAGAGAATAGCAGCAGCTCTGTGACACAGATCAACACAAATGGAAACTCTAAATGTCTTGCCTTGACAAAAACTGGAGAAGGAATGGAAGTGATAAATGTATTTTAGATTTTTAAACAAATAGCTTTGTTGACGAAAGGAACATGGAGAGTTGTACATAGGCATTAACTGAAGCATGCACAGAAGAAAAAATCTGTCCCTATAACCCACAAATGCACTGTACATAGACATTAGATGCTAATTTAGTAAAAGGATGATGCTAGGTTTTACTGAGCATGCTGCACATGCTACAACAAAAAATTATATTGCATAAAACAAAATATAATTAATATTGAAAATTGTGATTTCCACAACTGGTTGCAAAGTTTCCTATACAGATTTTCCTACTTAAGTGAAGCATGACATTACATATAAACTTGACCCAAATGACTAAATTAATGATGTAAGATTCCCCAAGTTGCTTGTATTTTAAATTTTAAGTTTTGGTAGTTTTTAAATATTTAGTTTATCGGTTTCTGTACTGACGTATTTTAACATAAAATTGAATAGCAAATTGCCTTAATTGAAGGTATTAAAAGATAACCAATTAGTAGGCTCAAAATTTAACAGTATTTCAGATCTTTAGTATGGTTAAATAAAGAGTGGTGTATAATACACTACTCTAGCTGAAATAGCACTTTTTATATTAATCTAGCTGAAATAATTACTTAAGAAAATTGCGATGGAAAAATTTAACATCTGCATTTCGACCTGACTTTTCTCCGTAAACTGAGACTGATGTACTTTACCTGTTTTTCTGTCGTGTAGTTGTTCACTGTTCATGGAATAAATGTCTAATTCTTTAATACAAGAATATGAATCTGTTCACCAACTGGGAACTTTAAGAGGCTTCATCCAGATAAGATACCCATTCGGACTCGGAGCAGCAGTACACCCACCGCACCTCTTAGCCATTGTATGCTAAATTGCTGTCCTGGAATTTTATAAGTAGATAAGAGCAGCTGCAAATATTGCAACCTTGTGCAATGCATGCTGATAAAGGGCTCTAGGACAGAATCTAATTACTACCCATTCCCCAAGTGGTGTATGATCTGTGGAATTAACACTTCAAGTTTAATATACAGTGGACCCCCGCATAACGATTACCTCCGAATGCGACCAATTATGCAAGTGTATTTATGTAAGTGCGTTTGTACCTGTATGTTTGGGGGTCTGAAATGGACTAATCTACTTCACAATATTCCTTATGGGAACAAATTCGGTCAGTACTGGCACCTGAACATACTTCTGGAGTGAAAAAATATCGTTAACCGGGGGTCCACTGTATTTAGTTTCTATTTTGAAAATGCCCTTCAAAGATTGTAGGTATATACATAAAGACAAAAAATAGTAAACATTTATTCAAAGAAAATGCTATTATACACATTTCCACATAAGCAGATGATATATGATATTTACATCTGAATATGTACATTAAGGGTGAACAAATAGTACACAGCACTATTGATAACCCATAAAATAACCAAGTCATTGCTTTATTTCTGTTTAAATTTTTCTGATAGGCTGTGCTCTTAAAAAAAAATCTCTTCCACTACCCATAATTAAGAAACCTGGGGGGGGGGGGGATTTAGTTAAAAATGGTATAAAGTGGTTTAAAATTAACATGTCAAATTTTACTTTAGTCTTTAAAAAATTCTAGATTGATGGGCACTAGTTGAAGGGAGAGCGTATGAACATGGAAATGGGGTCAAGGATGGGAGAGGAGAGAAAGAGGCAGGAAGAATGGAAGCGGTTTTATGAGTCACTGGATCATTAACCTCATTGTACAATAATAATAATAATCAAATTAAGTGCTAAACCTGAAAAGGCTCGCCTCGTTGTACAGAGAATACTATACAGCCGTTGACTTCTCGGCTGTGGTCCGTTCTCGCATTAATGCATCTTTCTACAAGTTGACCCAAGCAAGGCTGTGACACGGATGCACTACAATATTGGAGTAAATATCATAACAAACCTATATAACACGTACAATTAATAATGGTTTCACAGAAACCCGCCTAAGTTCCCATGGCTTAGCAATTCAACCAGGGAGAAAATAATTTTTGAATTACACAAATAATCATTAAATGTAACTATTTCACTTACAAAAAATAAATTATTGGGAAGTTTCCTTGAAGTATAATAAATTTTTATTTTTTTGACTACAGTTTTGTACAAGATAAGTAGCATTTACCAAAATATTTGCAGAGAAAAAAAATTCATTCCAAAATTAAATATCTAAGGAGGGTTAAATAAATGAAGCGAAAAAAAATTTGCTAGAAGATTGTGGAAAGCGTAATCTGAAAGTTTGTGAAACGACATAACCCTCTGTTTACATCACAGTACAATGTACATTATAATCTCTTGGGCTGGAACTAATTACTAATTTATTTTAAAAACTTCCATCAGTACACTGATACCAATTCATGAAAAAAAAGGTACCAAAGCTTTTATATATTTATTTATTTATATTCATTCTTAGCCCTTCCTCTTTCCAGCACTTTGACCCATGTGGATTTAGAGCATTTTAGTGATTAAAATTTCCTGGAGCTCACAGGTATGATACATGTATTTCTAAAAGGCAATTAAATGTACCGGTATACAAATATGCAAGTACCAATAACTTGCTACAAATTAAATAAAATGTCTCATAATCCTTAAAATATTTTCAAATGTAAAAAACGAACCCATACGGGTCATGCAGCCCACAATATTCTATAATTATAAAACATCCCAAGATGACTTCACATTTTTTTTAAATATAAATATACTATGCAGATTACAATGACAATCATTACTTTCTCTTGCTGAAGGCAAGACTTCATTTCAGTTTGCATTTGGAAGTTGAAACATTCAAATTTGGATTCTAGGCATTTTTCAATCATTAGTGCAAATTTAAAATTATTCCAGAATTCATGCCATTCAAATGGTTCACCGACTCAAATTGACTATTATTTCCCTAATAACTAATAGGCAGGTTGAAACTACTTTTGTTAAATAAAAGAACAGCATCATGGAAATGCACAAGAGTGGAATAAACAAAACTAACAGTTCTCCACACTAAATACATTTATAATTTTATCAGACTGCCTATTTATGCACTAAATGTTCGAATGTCCAAATTTCCTCTTTTGCTTATTCCCCTAATCATGGAGCAGCTGTTAATCACTTTATTAATGAAATTATGAAGGGCACAAAGTATGAAAATACATGATAAATATATACATGTATATATATCAATGCATCCACAAAATTGTTTTAAACAAATAACAGTACTGTGATTAGCTGGGAAATGAACCCAGGATATTTAACCAGCCTCCTGGCAGGACGCCTTTGTCCACTAGGCCACCGTGCATGGTGGCCTAGAGAACGAATGCATCAAAAAATTTGCCTAGCGTGCTGGGAGGTTTGTTAATCCCCAGCTAGTCAGTACTGTCATTTGTGTATATAAAAAATCTTATAAAATTTGCTTTTGCTCCTGTTATATCAAGGTACCATTTACAATATCCTCTATAAATACCCCCCAGCTACTGTACTTCCTAGTGATTTGGATTTGTGATTCAATGTAAAAGCTATGAAAAGTGCCCCTTCAAGGGAGTGTTTTCATTTCTGGTGAAAGGCGCTTGATCTAAGTAATTGAAGTTACACATAATGTTATGCTGACAACGTGAAGAAGTGTACATGCAACACCTAAGTATCAGGTTCATAAAGGTACTGAACACCAGCTTCCAAGCTATTTACCTCAACTTCCACTGTCTTCTGTGCAGTTCTGCAAGACTGGGAACTAACTACTTAATCTTCACTGCAGAAATGATATACCACGACTGACTTGACAAAGTCACTCGTTATAAAAACATCTTTACATAAAGAACCCAGGTGTTGCACATGAAGCTATGCAGTACAGTATGTCCTCGACTTAAAAAAACACGTTGAGAATCTTCTAGATTGTATATATTATAATAATAATATTACGTGTATCATCATTTTACACAATACAGAAGACCCCAGCGTGTTTGTATGCTGAAGACTTCCTGTATTATGAATATTACACAGAAGATTCTCAACGTTTTCGTAAGTTGAGGAATTACTGTAGTCTCCCTTTGCTCAACTCAAACCTGATCTCCCTCTCCCTGGCGCTGTATGACACTTACGGATTCAGCACTTCAAGCACAAAATAACTAAATTGTGTGTTGAAAGATTTGCATGGTTTACAATGACATGTGAGCAAACACTAGGACATTAATTAGAAAACATTTTGGTCCTGGGACCTTGATCAAGGTCCCAGGACTGAAATGTTTCTAATAAATGTCCTAGTGTTTCTTCATGTGTCATTTTCAACCAATTTGTCAGTATCAATTACCAAGGTTCATATCAAGGATCTGCATGTTAGTATGGCTATATATATATATATATATATATTAATTACAATATAAGAATGATGGCTGCATCAGCAAGTATAACTATAAAAAAGAATGCTGAAAATGTACGTGAAACCAGAAAATAGGAAGAAACCAATACAAAAGTAAGATTAATGTTTGAATATTAAACACTGCAACTATAGCCATGACAGGGACCATAATATATACTGTAAATGCAAAAATATATACAATAAGATAAAAAATTGTGTATGTACAACATTCATAGCTTTATTTTTATTTAAAAAGTTGACCTCCCACATGAATAGAAAAATTAATTTTTTTTTGGAGGTTTTAGGAAATAAAGCATTACAAAAAATACAGTATTGGCAATAAACTGAAAAAAAAAACAGGCTTACAAAGGATTCAAAACAGAGTAATAGAATGAAAATTTAAGTACAAAGTGAAATTGCACAATCACAATATTAAAGTTTAAAATCAGGAAGAAATGGATTCACATAAATTTGAAAATATAGATATGGATAACATGGTGCACTGCCGACTAAAATGAACACAAACATGAATGGCAAACTTTTACCGGGACAATGACTTTCCTAAGATAAATAAAGACACTAAATAGACTTGCAGACTGCGGAAATACAGGACAAAATCCACTGGGTGCATTGATTATAACAGCACAACAATCCTATCCCTATCCACCACAATTACTAACACCAACCACCTGCTCCGCCCCTTCCCAACTGGTCTGTTAAGTGAGGATTTACTGTACTCAAGTTTCAACGCAGTGAATTATTATTATAATCAAGGGGAAGCGCTAAACCCGGAAGATTATACAGCGCCTGGAGGGGGATGTGGAAGGCATTCAGGCTTAATTCGGGGTACTCGACGCAGTGAAACATTGTCCCATTACGACAACTTGTTTCTTTGACTCCCAAGAAACACGCTACCAATATGACTGTATTTCACGATTTCCTTTACTGTTTTTAGATCCTAATTACATGTATATTGGGGCAAGTCTTGACCTCTTTTAAGTCTGTCTTTTTGTGTGTGTTTGGAAGGTGCACTGTGCATCAAAAGCAAAAAACAAAGCATTAATACACATTTCTTCATTAAACACACGAGGAATAGCATCCCGCAACTCTTAAGACTAGACAGTGGGGCCAATGATCCCCAGAACCATTCACAGATTTTTTTTTTTTTAACATGCCAGTCGTCTTCCAGAAATGTACATGACGTAACACAAACCCTCTTACAATGCAGCTTTGTACGTTTTTTTTTTTTGTAGCCTGATTCAAAGAGTGCAACCAAAGAGATTCAATACTCTGTAGAAATTGGATATAACGTTCCATAAAGCATTAAAGAATCAGAGGAATATCAGTGATGCTGGAGGTGCTAAGAATAATAAATATGAGATGGCATACTTGTGATGGAAAGTTGTATAACAGGCTGACTTGTTGAAAAAAAAAAAAAAAAAAATTAGTGATGGAAATTGCCCAAGAGATTTGTGTGACTAAATCAACCAGTCAAACAATTAGAAATGACGAGAAAAAATAAGAGCTTGTTCATTTAGTAAAGACTGTTACTTCCATGGTTTAAAAAACAGTGTATTAGTCAATCCCAGGATAGGCACAAGCACGTCTTCAACTTATAGCCGAGATATTGGAGTTTTTTTTTTCACAAGCTGTGAGTGTAACTGTTACCTATGTGTTAGTTATGCAACATGGATGACTTGCTCCAAAGAATATCAAAGTCACTATGCTCAATAAGATGGAATAGTTAATGTGTGGACAGCAGAAAACCGAACAAAAAAAGTTGTCCATCTTAGTGCTCAGATAATAAGACACAAAGACCTATTCTACTAAAAAGTTGAGTATGAGGAGGAAGGAGAACCTTCACAACCGTGTAAGCTCGGTGCTGGACGACTTGAAAAAAAAAAAGTGCAATCACCTTTGCAACAAAGTTTCAAAAGTGCAATCATCTTGGCAACAGTTTGAAAAGTCCAATCTTTGCAATAAGGTTGGAAAAGTGCAATAATCTTTACAACAAAGTTTTAAAGTGTGATAAACTTTGCAACAAAATTTTAAAAGTGAAATAATCTTTGTATCAAAGTTTTAAAAAATGCAATCATCTTTGTGACAAATTCAAAAGTGCAAAATATCTCTGCAACAGTTTAAAAAGTACAATAATTTTTTACACCAAGGTGTCAAAAGTGCAATCATCTTTGCAACAAAGTTTTCTGATCATTATTATTATTAAAATCAAGGGAGGAAACACTAAACCCACAGGATCATACAGCACCTGTGGGGGATGTGGAAGGCATTCAGGTTTAATTCGGGGAACTGGAACACACATCCAATTCCCTAGATCAAGAGCCCCTCACCAGCATCAAGGAACCTTCCTTGAGGGGACTTTACTGATCAGCTCTATACATTTAGTGCTCCAGTGATAAAAACATACCAGGAATGTATTTATAGAGATTAAGTGAGCACTTCAATAAAACCGTCAAGTACTGATAACTCTGCATCTACATCAGAGGAACCATAACCATGCACCTTAACCCAGTAGACTTGCATCATCTATCTCCTGAAACTTTTATCTCCAAAAGCAGCACTACCAGAATTAAGTTATGCATACAGCAATTTTAACAAGTGCAATAGTAAAAAGGAAATTAGCAAATTTGGAGTTGTCTGGAACATAACACTAATTTTCCCTCTCATTAACCCGTAAACGGTCCAAATGTATATATACATATGTCCTTACTGTTAGCGCCCCAAATGTAGATCTACATTTTATTCTTCCTGCCTCCAAATTTGGCACGACTGGCCTGAGGTGCCTGGTCAGCATAGAATGCACAGTATTAAAATAATCTGGGACCACTTAGTACCTTGTGGGAGCACCAGTTCAATTGAGATCCAACTTGAGCAAACAGCATGGCAAACACCTGGGATTCACTGACATCATGTAGTATTAACACTCCCATTTTAAGAGGAAAGTGATGTTGACCCCGAGTTTAGTGGCTTTGAGGTGGATGTGGCCATAAGTGGTCGAGGAAATATCAAAAACCTCGATAATTACCCATGTGAACATTTGTGCAACACCCTTTCAGAATGTCTTATAACCTATACCCTAAGTAAAGAGAAACAATTCTGGAAAGTGTAATATGTGTTCGGCAGGCTGGCTGGCGGGGTGGCTGCCTGGCCAATTGGCAGGCTGGCTGCTGGCTAGCTGGCTCTATCTCCATCTGTCTGTCTGTCGTATCTGTTTACCTCTGTCTATCTGTCTCTATCTCTGTCTCACAGGTACACAAATACAATTATACATAGTGTAAATTACCTAGGATAACCCAAAAAATCCAGACAAAGTGCTACACTGTGCTTGTCGATCTAATGCATAAACATGACTGGCATATACGTATTCATATTTGCTCAGGAACCTGACGTGACGACAAAGTCGTGTGTAATACCTGGTGGTTCACGAGTGGCGCTCTCTGAAAAAGAGACAGACAGAGAGAGACAAGCAGACAGAGAGACAGATAAGCAGAGACAGAGATAAACAGAGAGTTAGACAGACAGATAGATGGAGAGCTAGACAGACAGATAGACATGCTTGTGTGTAACAGTGAAAACAAATAAAGGCAGGGCTATGGACGCTCATCAAATGTCACCACTACACTGTCAGCAGTGACTGACACTTTGTCTCACATCATGCTTCAAGGGAATTTATTATTATTATTATTACAGTATATTATATACTCCTGCGTATCCAAAACATTGCTGGGACCTATAAATACTTTGTATATATTCCTATCAATAGTAAATGACCAAGGCAGGTGTAAGTGTTCACCTGTCATTGTGTTTGTGACAACATGAGTACAATTTCAGTACCTAACATCAGTGTCAGAACAAAGAATGGCTATGAAATCACAAGAACTCCTATAAATTGTAATTATCAAAACATAAAAATTATATAAAATATAAAAACGAGAAAAAAAGATATATTGGCAACACTTCTGCAAGTGGCAGGTGAGCATCCAGTGCCAACTTTGCAGCCTCAATATCTCAGTAAGTAATGATCCTAAACATTTTTTTTATCCTATAACACTTAGAAAAATGCACTCTAATTCTATAAAAAAAAAATCAAAATACTTGGAGTGCTGGGTGAGAGAACGCATATACAGTAAACGTTTGGACTGTTTATGGGTCAATGTTCTTCACTTAATGTCACACACTTTTAACTCTACTTCAGTGCTGATTTTCAAATATTTTGTATTTGAAGTGATCTTTTTTTGGCTAGCAGCCATAACAATGCTATTTCCCCAGCAATGTTATGCTGACAACATGAAGAAATATGCATTAGGTTCATAAAAAGTAAGGTACTGAACACCAGCTTCGAGGCTCATTCCCCCTTATTCCACTGTCTTCTGTGCATAATTCTGTAAGACTGGGGGACTGACTGCCTCGTCTTCCACTGATAAATTTGGCACAGCATGCCCAACTTATTACCATTAACTGATATGCTAGGTAAGCACAAATAGAATGAGTGTCTGTCTTGTGCTCAGCAAATGAAGGATCGAGCCTCCACTCCATCCTGCACTGAATGACCTTTTTTTTTTTTTTTTTTTTTCAACAAGTCGGCCGTCTCCCACCGAGGCAGGGTGACCAAAAAAAAGAAAATCCCCAAAAAGAAAATACTTTCATCATCATTCAACACTTTCACCACACTCGCACATTATCACTGTTTTTGCAGAGGTGCTCAGAATACAACAGTCTAGAAGCATACACACAAAGATACACAACATATCCCTCCAAACTGCCAATATCCCAAACCCCTCCTTTAAAGTGCAGGCATTGTACTTCCCATTTCCAGGACTCAAGTCCGACTATATGAAAATAACCGGTTTCCCTGAATCCCTTCACTAAATATTACCCTGCTCACACTCCAACAGATCGTCAGGTCCCAAGTACCATTCGTCTCCATTCACTCCTATCTAACACGCTCACGCACGCTTGCTGGAAGTCCAAGCCCCTTACCCACAAAACCTCCTTTACCCCTCTCTCCAACCCTTTCGAGGACGACCCCTACGCCGCCTTCCTTCCCCTATATGCTTTCCATGTCATTCTACTTTGATCCATTCTCTCTAAATGACCAAACCACCTCAACAACCCCTCTTCTGCCCTCTGACTAATACTTTTATTAACTCCACACCTTCTCCTAACATGAATTAATTAATTAATGACCTACATGAATTTAAAAAAAAAAATTACCATTGGGTATGAAGTTTTCTTTACTCTGATCCTTCTAGATGTGCCTTGATGATCACTTTTGGTAAAAAGAGGTGGATTTTTTTTCATTCTCTGACACTGCATGATCCCTACAGGTTTAGAGCTTCCACTTTAATAATGTGATATATTGTCACATTTACCTCTTAGTTCCAGGAAAATAGTGCTGCTTGCCATGGCTTCTACAAAAATGTGTTAACAAGCATGAAAAACCCCAAAACATTTCATTGTGGCTGAGAATTTGTCATTTTCTCTCACATTATAATAATAATAATTGGCAGTTTGCAGAGATATATTGTGTATTTTTATACATATATACTTCTAAGCTGCTGTATTCTGGAGCACCTCTGCAAAAACAGTGATTATGTGTGAGTGTGGTGAAAGTGTTGAATGATGATGAAAGTATTTTCTTTTTGGGGATTTTCTTTCTCTTTGGGTCACCCTGCCTCAGTGGGAGACGGCCCCCCGAACATTGTTGAAAAAAATAAAAAAAGATCTTACTATTTCAGCATGCTATACAATGTTTTTTGTACAAAGGGAAATGACATTTAGGTACTAAACACTGTACAGAAGGCAGTATTTGTGACTTAGTACCATTTGGCATTTTGAACATTGCCTCCACATTGCACATTTTTTTTTTTTTTTTTCAAAATTTCATGACATTTCCCCACAGGACATCAACATGCAGCATTCTGCCCCATATGCACTCAGTGTTGCACCGACGGACAGCTATTTCGTAAATGTTAAACCTCTTTTTGTACAGTTTGTAAGTACATTAAATATTTGGGAAAATACTTTAGTGCTGTAATAACTTTTACTCCCCTTAAGTTCAATACAAGTACTCTGCTAAATGTAATGACCTACACATCTTTACTGGATACATCTACTTTGCTTCACAAAAACCTGCACTTCTGAGACACCACCAAATTATATTTTGGTTGTCTTTAACCGAGTCACAGCTGACCAGGATGGTGCAAAACATTGTCTGGAATTTCCTCTCATAAGTGCAGGTATTCGCGAACTGCTCCAGTCGTGGTATTGACTTTTATTCTCTACCGGGGCAGATCATAAACTATTTTATCATTGTAGTTCTTAAGAAATTAAATGGTTCCTAAGTGCCATTTTTTAAGCTCATCTTTAAGATCTTTTTATATCTTGTCTGCATAATATTTTAAGCAGAGTGCACTGCTGCATATTTTAAGCAGAGTGCACTGCTGCATATTTCAATTTTGGCTAAAATATATTGTGAACAATTTTTTCAGAATTGTTCTATCTATATAACTGAAAGCTGTTTAAAAATTTGTCAGAGCAGTATATGAATTTGTTGCAATTTCACTTGTGATCTTTAGATCTCTCTTCTCTCTGTCAGATGCTTTTAATATTTTATCACCATACAGTACAAGTATGATTCATGTGGCCTTATTTTTTTTTAACACACTGGCTGTCTCCCACTGAGGCAGGGTGACCCAAAAAAGAAACACTTTCACCATCACGTACACTATCACTATATTGCCAGAGGTGCACAGAAACACGAAATTCCATGATCCATCACTCCATCTGCTCAATTTAACATTCAGGAAGAATGAAAAATTGAGCAGATGGATAAGTATTTTTTTAATTTGCATACGATCTTCGCATCATCTGCAAGTATAGTTTTTGTGCCTTCTGGCAAGTCATTTACATAAATTAGGAACATTAATTGTGTAAGCTTTGACTATTGTGGCAGCTGCTACTGATACACCCAGAGGGCATTTTTCTCATTATTCTTCTCGTGTTTCTTCCAAATATAAAAATTCTTATACACTATAACACTGTGAGAGCAGGAGAGAGAATAAAAGAGAGAAGAACAAAGGAAAACAAGAGAAAGAACGAGAAAGCCAGAAACAGCATGAGAGTGTGAATGTGTGTGTGTGTACGTGCACGTGTGTGTACGTGCACGTGTGTGTACGTGCATGTGTGTGTGTGTGTTTGTGTACATGCATGTGTGTGCATGTGTACGTGCATGTGTGTGTGTACGTGCACAAGTGTGAGTGTGCATATACAGAGTACCATAAATCACAAGGATTCAACCCTCAACACAAGCATGAGGCTGGCACACTACACACTATACCAATTAACATAGAAAAGGATCCGAGGAAAAGCTTACTAGTTATTCACTGTATACCCCACTACTGCTTTCCAATTTTTTTTTTTTATGGTTCTCCTCTGCCATGGAAGTACATTGCAATATTTGGTAATACTCCTACAAATCTGGTCAATAAAAGCAACATGGAGCAATATATTTCCCCTTTATAAAATACCCTATAACTGTTCACAAATCTACAGGTCTTTCCATACTTATAAATTTTGGTACAATGACAATCAAATTATCAGAGGTAATGTATACATTTGAAAAATTTGTATTCAAAGACCACACATCTCCACTTTAAACTAAATAATGAAAGGAAATGTATTTATAAACCACAAAACAAGTATATATGGTCCTCGTTTTACAATATTTTGATTTTACAATGCCGTGAGAAAATTGCAAAACTTTTCTTGTACTGTACAGTACATTTATTGATAGGATAAACTTGTATGCACTGACCTACTTTTCAATACTGGTACTTACAGTAAATTTTCTCTTTAACATGTCAGCCATTTCCTACCCAGGCAGGGTGACCTAAAAAGAAAAACCCAAAAACAAAGAAAAGAAACTTTTATCATCATTCAACACTTTCACCATTCCTCATAGATAATCACTGTCTTTGCAGAGGCGTTCAGATACGACAGTTTAGATGTCCCTCCAAACTTTCAATATCCCAAACCCATCCTTTAAAGTGCACGCATTGTACTTCCCACTTCCAGGACTCAAGTCCGGTTAACCAGTTTCCCTGAATCCCTTCACAAAACATTACCCTGCTCACATTGAAACATCTCGTAATTATTTGTTTATTTACATATTCAGTGACAGTACTTATTTAATTACTTATCATATCAGATCCGACTTAACGATATTTTCAACTTACAATGGGTTCCTCGGAGCATAACCCCTATGTAAATCGAGCACCACCTGTACAGTGCTCAAGTCTCCAGTCTCGTGTCTTACCCTAAACAGACTTAGCTTTACAACACCTGATAAAAATCTTAACCTGGCCTATTATAACCAAAGAATAACACCACCATTATCACAGATATTTCCTCACTTTTTTCTCAAAAGCCCGATGTATGAAGTTTATAAATTACCCTCTAACTGCAAAGAGAAGTGCAATACCATTTAACTTCACATGATTAAAATTTAGTAAAAAATGTATGAAATAACTTTCACACATTAATAAAACTGAATTATGATTCTGACCCCTTGTAAAGCCACTATGTCCATAGTATGTTTAAAACGTCCATCACTAGCACAACTGAAAAACGGTTTAGTGATGCTGACAAGATGTGGAAAAAGACACTTATGTACAGTTCGGGACATTTGATACAGGAAATGTTTCACCATGAGCGGCTTCTTCAGTCCTAATACAGAAACAAGCAACTGTTAGTGCCCTCTCGGGGCATACAACCTGACTCCTGCCACTATATATAGTCTCTCCTCACTTAATGACGGGGTTCTGTTTCTAAGACCACGTCGTTAAACGAATTCGTCGCTAAGTGAGGACCATATTATAATGGTAGTGAGTTTGTGTCAACCATCGTTGATACTGTTTCAATGTCGCCTTTGCATCATTTAGAACATTTCTGATATATTTCTGAATGTTTATACAGTAGTGTACCATATATTGAAATAAACAGAATAGAGGAAATCAGCTCTAATATACATTATTTAGGTATGAATACTAGTCAGAGGGCCTGTCACAAGTCCGAGGCATCAGTAAACAAGTACGACACTAAGTGAGGAGAGGCTGCATCCGAAAAATGTTAAAAATAGTGCAAAGGTGACATTAAAACAATATCTAAAGATGGTTAACACAAACCCACAAGGAGTACAGCACGTCTGAAATATCGGTAAGAGGCAGCTCCTCGCTTAATGACCAATTCGCTTACCAACCTACTCTTAGGAATGGAACTCAGTTGTTAAGTGAGGAGTACCTGTACTCATTTCTTAGTTATCTCTGTATTAAGAATGAAGAAAGTGCTCAAGGCACAACATTTTCTCTAAAAAATGTCCAGAGCTACACATATGTCTTTTTTCCACATTTTGGTAGTTGTGTAGAAGGTTAAAACAACATGAGGCACTGAAAAGAAAACCAACGAACTTGCCAGTGATCAATACCTGCGTTTTCTCTGCCAAAACGTCCATCATTTTTTGAGTATCATATACATCACTCTGGGTGATACGTTCCTCACTTTTACCCTCCCTTTCCCAATGAGAATAAAGGGATGTTTAACCATGTGGTCATGTCCAAAAACAGTGATTTGGCTGCAGAGAAAAACAACGAACTTGCCATATCATCTTAAAGCTCATTAAATATGCTGTAAAATTTGAGACTAGTGTGATCAAAATGGTATGGTTAATTACCAAGATATTGTTGCAAACATGTTGCAAAGATTCTATGCAATTTTCTCAAAAATGACATTTGACGAGTTCGTTGGTTTCCTTCCGAGTACTTACAATGATATAGTGTAATTTGATCAATATAATGCAGTCGCCACATGGAAAAAAAAAAACCATAAAACAATGCAATTAAACCTTGAACTTAATGGTCCCTACTTTGTCTTCTAGAGACCAACACCCACATTAGTCAGATGCACTTTTCTCATATATATTTGCAATTTTCTCCTCTGTACCCTACCTGCTAAAGAAGACCTCATTCAGAGGTTGAAATATACAACTCCTACTTCACTCTGTCTCTGTCTCTATGCAAGTTTATGGGCTACAGATGAAACAGTGTTACATTAAGTTCTCTACTGTATCATGTCAAGTATTCTTCATCAACAGTGATGAACAAATTCTGCCTATTAATTACCAAGATAGAACAAACAATTCCACAATTTAAAAAAATCATACCAATTTAATATCTGAAATTTAAAAATTTGAGCAAGGCTTTTAAAATGGAAGCATAAATGGGATATTTTACACTCAGAAGCAAATGAAAGATTCAGGTCTTACTAAAGAAAAATACAGATAAATGAAAAAAAATGGCAAGAGATTGTGTAAAATGCAGCTATACACAAATAACCCGCACATAAAAGAGAGAAGCTTACGACGACGTTTCGGTCCGACTTGGACCATTGACAAAGTCACAGTGTGACTTTGTCAATGGTCCAAGTCGGACCGAAACGTTGTCGTAAGCTTCTCTCTTTTATGTGTGGGTTATTTGTGTATCGTTCCAGTCACGGTATTGTGCCTTTTTTTGTTATAAAATGCAGCTGTGGGCCAGTACTTTACCCTGGATATTCAATACTGAAGAAGAGGGCACTGTGATATATAACTAAAGAAGATACATTAGATAATCAGGTAAACATACACGTATATATTAATTATCATGTGGAGAACATTAGATTTTTAAAAAAAAATACAGTATTATGAAAAACATATGAAAACATATCACTAGTATGTTACAAATGAGCCGAGATCCCATTCTTAATGATTGTAAGGTACAGCTTCTGTAGTGATTCAGACTATGATTTAGTCAGTAATCTATAGGACACAATAATAATAACCACCATTTCTTAATAAAATTACATCTGCCAGTAAGCATGCACTATTACAGTAAACCCCAGATTTAACAATCTTCAGAAATACCGGAAAAAAAATGTGCTGGGCCAAATGATTTGGAAATGGTCAAAGTCCACTGTTATTGTTATGATCACAGCAAACAATCTCATATCTACAACAATCGTCATTACTGGACCACCCACTCCCTTTCCCTATTAAACTGAGGGTTTACTGTACGAAGCCTGATCTATACAAGCCAAATTTTTGGTCTCTTAAGGTCACCTTATAACCTTGTATCATTAAGCAAGGACAAATGACATGAATAGACAAAAGTATTAATGGCTATCCTTTGCATATTATACTGAAATAAAGTCACATTAAACACTAATTAACATTGTTCTTATAAAGCATGTTTTTAATTCAGAAATAAAATACAGTTCGTATATTAAAATCTTGGTTTGGAATTATTAAGATCCATTAACTAGTAACACTTAGAAAATACAATATTGTATATGAATTTATCAAAACTTTTTATGTCTCTCTGACCTCATGAAAGGAGTTATATCTGTTAATGGTTCCAAGGATTACTGACCCCTGGGACCCAGTCTCAGACCAAGAATATTATCCTCTCACTGTATATATGCTTGCAAAAGTGATTTAGGTAACAACAACACTTTCACTACCTTGCACTGGCTGACTACATATCAATCAACGGATGTAAGGATCATCGCCCCTGCTACCTGGTCTTACACCAGGCCTCCTAAATTAGAGAGATTACAGAAAATATAAAAATAATACCAGAAAGTGCATACTGAATGTAAACAGAAGCATGTAAGTAGATGTTCAAGATTTACCTGTTATCTTATGCATTGGCTATCATTAGGGAATATCTTTCATTTGTACAATGAGAAGTGATGTTATTTAAAATATTATTAGCCATGAAGGGACAAAGAGGTGATACAAAACTATTATGTTATGGAAAAAGGTGTAAATTAAGGGAAAAAACCAACAGAGAATGTACCAATGCCAGAATGATCACATACATATTTTAGCAAGTGCTCACAAGCCTAAGTTTTAATTTCACCATACAGTAGAGTCCCACTTTATAAAAATTTTGCACTCATGGTATTAGCAGCTTGAAATCAATTAATCACTTATGAATGCTGAGCTGTAGTTACAATCATTGCAAATACTTTATTGAAGCAAATAACTTTTAAATATCTTTTTTTTTACCAAATGCAATAATTATGTGTATGTTCATTTCATATTTACTTGGTAAAGATTGTCAAGAACTACAGATTTAATATTTATCATGTTCCAAAGGCTGAATTAGTCTATTTTTTTTCTTGGTTAGTTTTAATCAAAAATATTCCTACTCTATGTATAACTTTGATGGGTTCCGAGTTTTCCTAATCTTGCGGCCCGGCCCTGGGTCAGACTTGCCTGATTACCTGGTCAACCAGGCTGTTCCTGCTGGTTCATTTCATGTTTATTGTTCTGGTCACAGTATTGTGCCTTTGTTCTTTACTTGCTGGGTAGATAATGGTCAAGAACCAATTTATATATACAATTTCCTTAAGGCCGTGTGTCTGTGCTGTGGTAGCCCCTAGTTACTATCATGCACTGGACATGTTCCATAGGTGTGGCACAGGACCTTACACCACACCCTCCTTCACACCCCTGTCTTCCATCTCTCTCTCTTTTCTCCTTTTTCCTCTACTAAAGAAATGTGAGCTCTCTACACATGCATAAAATGAACACAATGTACGATTCTGTAGGAAAGTGAAGAAGAATCCTTCCTCATATGTGTCATAAGGCCTGGTCACAGACCGGGCCGCGGGGGCGTTGACCCCCGGAACTCTCTCCAGGTAAACTCCAGGTAAGAGGCAACTAAAATACTGGGAGCAAGGGGCTAGTAACTCCTCCTCTATAAATTACTAAATGTAAAAAGAAAAACTTTTGTCTTTTCTTTTTCAGGTCACCCTGATTTGCTGGGAGATGGCCGGTGTGTTAAAAAATTTTCTTTCAAATATATGCACTGATTGTAACAGGAGGTCAGCATTTCTAAGTCATTATATGGTTTCAAAGTGCCAATATCACAAATGTGAAGCATCCAAGATGGGATCCTCCTCCTGTATCACAATTCATTTAAAGAATCTAGTTTATTATTTTGAGCAATAAAATCTTAAGATTTTTTATTTCAATAATTCCAGGATGCTCTTCTTTCTTTTGCATGGACAAGAAAAATATTTTCACACACCCACAGGACTAGTCAATAAATCTTGCACTATCCAACTTCACAAGATCACTGAAGGATATTTCAAGCAATGCTCAATGATATCATGCAACATATTTCTCCTGGTTTGACTGTCCTCTCAATTTAACCACAGTATATTACGGATGTGGACATACCATACGTACAAAGTACACTGTTAGGTATACCAATATTACACTTGTCGGGCACTTTAACTGGAAAATGCATATTTTTTCTACACATACATACCCTGCTTGGCACCTTCACCTCACAAATGGTGTAACTTCATTCTCCTGTAGAGGTGGTGGAGGCTGG